AGTCTAAATTCCTTCTCTTTAACGTAGAATTTTCTGTTGTCCGCTGCACTAGGCGATTCTGGCCCATGATCATGTGCAAAAATGAGGTGAAATCAAAAAATTCATGGCAAGTAATGCAAAAGTATTGAATTGCTAACGCAATGACGAGATAACGCTGAATGTGAATGCACTTAATTGATTAATCACGAAGTAACAACCTGTTGCATTGCACTGTGCATTGAAGCCGCATCTCCGATGCTTTCGGGTTTGGAAAATTGTGACTTATATTCGTCAATAACTTTATCCAGTTGATCGTTTCGAAGCGCATGAAATGCTTTATTGCCTTTCCGATGTTCCTTGTGTTTTACGTCTTTTGCCTGAAACATTTTTAGCCAAAAGTGATTCCGTTCAATCACACTGATAACAAAGTGCTTGAGTGGAAGATGAAGTAATGACTGGAATAGATAAAATGACAACATCTTTCACCTCATCATCAACAAGCGTATCATCACTGCTGTGCTCATCGCTTTCTTCATGCTCAGAACGCTTCGACTCGGTTCTTGATTTGGTTTCGCTCTCATCATCTTTACCGATGGTATCACTTCTGTGGCTGTCACGCTCAGAGGCAGCTGAGCGCTTCGATTCGGTTCTCGATCTGGTTTCGCTCTCATCACCTTTGCCAACCGTGTCACCTCTTTCAGATTTGCCAGGCACGAAATCGTTCGAAGCCGACACACTTCGCTCGTCGTCGCTTTCGTGACCTTTCGAGTCCGCCTCCAGATCCGTCATCTTTTCAAGTCCTGTGAGGATTTCAAGTCATAGATAAACTCATGAGAAAAACCAGAAAACTGAAAGAATACACGAGCAGTGAACCACTGGGAAAAAATATACTGAGAATCTGACGAGTATCATTCACGCCCTCGTGAACTGAGAAGAATTGAATTGGTGACCGGCAGCCATAAGGACTCAGCAGTTGCTCATTCCACCGAACGGATGTCTGATATTACTGCGAGATTCTTGTTGGCTCTCAGTCCTAAGCACCG